GACAAGCCATCCATGCAGGACTCTGCCAACAGGCTTCCCTTCTCCCCAAACTTGCCTGTTGGTACCCTTCTGCACAGGCGCGCCTACTAAACCCCCAAAAAAACTGAGTGACTGTGCAGCCTACGCAACCGCAACTACGGGAACTGACAACTAAGGACGGTCGAATTCAATTAGCGAACTTGGTCGCTGCATGAACTTGTACCACGGGGCCAGCACGTCCGCCAAGGTTATACGCGCCCGATTTGCTTCAGGGAACTTGGCCCTCATGACCAAGGGCAATGGCTTCGCTTCTGGGTGGTTCAAACGACTTAGCAAGTCAGCCTCTTCATTCCGCTCGCCTGCCACATGGGACAGCTCCAAGGCCACTTGTAGCTCCAAAGCCGCAAAAGCCAAGGCCATCAGCGCAAAGCACAGCGGCGGCGCAGTGGACATGCCCTTACTGCAAGCCGCGACCACTGGCATGTTGTCGCCATATTGTCGCAAGCGCGCGCAATGCAACTGAGCGGTCCCATCAACCTTTGCGCGAGCCAGAACCAGAGCCAGCTGCGCTAAAAGCTCCAGAGCACATATAGCTGCTTGCATCTTTTCCGGCCACTGCCAAAGATCGGGTAATTGGCCCTGCTCAATTTCCAGGTGGAACCAAAACAGTTTGTTTGACTCCAAGGCCCGAAACCAACCTCCTATGCCTGAGAGGGCAGACCCGGCCCAGGCATCCGCCGCAGCGTCCTCAGCCACCCTCTCACCGGCCCAAGAGAAACTGTTGGTGCAAAACACCCGCTGTAAAGTGTGCAACGAGGACAACGAAACCGGATCCAGATCCACACAGGGAGTCCATGCCGAAAACCGGACCCAAATCTTGCCCGTGATCGTTCGGGGCTGTTGCAGCAGACGACGCGCATTGATGACACAATCAACTGTCTTGCCACCCACAGCGTGCAAACGCCACCCCTTTTGAATATCGCTTCTTGCAGCAGCAGACTGGACTACCAGCCCGTCCCCCAGGATCATGGCCAGCTCTTCTAATTGCCCCAAACTCAGACACTGCAAGCGTGACCCTGGCTTGTTCAGCTTGATAAAGAGAGGCGCAAGGAAAGCTCGCAATGCGAGTCGCACTTGAGTCGCCCAAAGCAGAAACCCCAAGAGCTGAGAGAGCTTCTTCCGAGGCACCCGTCGCGGATGCAACCTCCACCAAGCCAGCTCCCTAAGCACCTTCGCTTGCTTGCTTTCCGGCAAGGACGCCCAGAAACCAGAATGCAAGGACAACTGCCACCCCAAATAGGTCAACTCGGAACCCAATGCCAGTTTACGCCAGGACAATGGCACAGCCAAGATTTGCAAAATAGCCAGCGCCAGCACCACCAGCATCGCGAACGCCCCCCGCGGCAGGAGGAATAGAAAATCATCCACATAAACCGCCCCCAGGTGGCGGTGGCGCACCAGGAAGTGTATGGTTCGTAACAGCAAAGCAAAAAGCCTCGACCACCAATACGCCGACCACGCGGCCCCGAAGTGGTTGACCACGTATGCGTAGAATTCTCCTTCAAGTGAGAAAACCGAAAAGCCCACATCTTCAGCAGCCGTACGAATAGATTTGTGAGCCCCCTTGATGTCCACGCTGAACAACACCCACTCTTTGGGGTCCACCGCCACACCTCGCCAAGCGGCGAACCTGTTCAGCGCAGCAGTGAACAAGAAAAGCGAAGGCACCTCCGCCCGCCAAGGAATCTGGCCGCCGGGCTCGCCCCACTGGCGCGGGGGTCGCCAATGAGCCGGTCTTCTTTTCCAGCGCACGTCACGAGCCCCAGCTTGCCAATTGCCAAAGAACCATCCGGGAATCGCTGTTGTACTGCCGACATCCCCCCTGCAATGTGTACCAAATAACCCAGGTCCACTTCTTTCTGGACTAAAGCGCGAACTTTCGCCGGCTCCTGTTCTGCAGAAATGTGATTGGAGGTGCACCAGAACAAATCGCAAGCCTCAGCCACCTCGTCACCCCATTTGCCAGAACAAGGTGGCCAAACACCAGATGCAGGGATTGGCTCCCGTACTCCCGTAGGCGCCCCGCACCGAAGCACTTTGCACAGAGCAACATCTGGATCATCCATACGCAGAGCCAAACTTTCCAGCAGATTGAACTTGTACGGAGTGAGTTCAAAGGGCTCCAATGCCCAAGCCGAATCGATACCCAAGGCTGAACAAACGGCCACTTGCATCAAATGCACCTCTGAGTCAGTAAAGAACGGATGCTCCAAGGTCTTGCCACACAGCGCGGCCGCCCGGCAGCAAGCATCTTTCGGCGTGGAAGACCAAATTGCTTTGCGCACCGCAGACAATGGGTCCCGCAAAGCTCCAGGCGGAGGCACTTGCCAATCCAGAGTGCTCGACAGACCACCCCCGTCTTTCAGCAAGATGCGGTGATAATCTGCAGGAGAACCACTCTCAGGCTGCTGAGCCACCCCCGCCACGTCAGCCTGGCCCGCATCTTGACGGAAAGCCGCAGGCTGCCAGGGTGGAGCGCTACCAGCTGGCAGCGAGGGGCAGCCTGCAGGGTCTGCTGCTACCTCGCTCCCGCATTGCTCCATGATGGGAGCGAGGCAACGCCCCTAATCCTCTTTCGCCAGTTGCAAAAGCTTCGCGCACGCATGCCGCCCATGTTCAGCAGAGCCGCAATGATCACAGTGATGCTTAAACTTGCATTCGTCGCGCATAGTGCATTTGCCTTCTTGGAAGCTCCAACAAAGACCCTTGGCACGCTTCACCCCTTTGTCTTTGCCTTTGCCCTTGCCTTGGCCACGACCCTTGCCAGCGCTTGTAGTTTCAGCACCATACGGGGAAGGACGCCTTCCCTTCTCTGCTGGAGCTTTGAGGCGCGGCTGCAGCCACAATCGCAAACTGTCTCGCACCACAACTGCCTCATAAATAGCCCTGTCCAAATCATTGCCCTTGCTCATCAAGTCCTGCAGTTGACGGCAGAGTTCCGCATCCGCAAACTCGGCCTCTGCAAGGTTTGGGGGGCGCATCCCCACATCAGCCAACCCAACGCGATGATACAGCAGCATGAACTTGTTGACAAGCATTTTGCCCGACGACAAATGGCACCAATCCAGCAACGCCCACGCCACACTGCGCAGCGACAAAACCTTCTGCACAGCGAAGGGGGAGGAAGACACGTCAGCTTCCAAAGCGTCAACATGTCCTGTCACATCCGCCAAAAGGCCCAGGAGAGACTTCTCCTTAGAGCGGGAGCAGGACTGGCGGGAACGATCGTATTGCACAACGCTCAAGATTTGCTTCCAAGGGATAAACTTCAACTCCCCATTCCGCTTTTGGAGCGCGATCTGCTGCAGCAATTGCTTGCAGGGCTGCCCATCCGCTTCCAAGCACTCTGATGGGTAGTCCGCCGCAAACTTCTTCCACAACTCTGCCAACTGAGCCGCATCCAGCTGCGGGCCCACTGAGAGACCCAACAAGCTCGTCCCTGCTGCATCGGAAACCACTGGCGCCTGATCACCAGCGTCATTGCATACTTTTGTGCACATAGCCAAGAGACGCCGCAAGCGGCCCGCTTCCAAGCACTGAAGCAAAGAAGGCGCACAGCCCTTATCTACCCCAGCCGCCTGCAGCACAGCATCAATCGTCTCCTCAGCCCCGCTCTGCAGAGTCCAGTGCAACTCCGCGGCAGTCGCGAAGCCCCGCGCAGCCAACTCCTCCTGAACTTTGCTACACAGCCCCACCTTTTGCAGCAAGTCCTGAAATTTCTTCTTGCAGTCCATCGCGGACATCGCGCCAGCAAAGACAAAGGAAGGCAAGACAACCAAACAACGAAGGCCCACGCCCAAACAAACACTCCCAGCGCACTTGCTGAAAGGAATAGGGGAGACACCTCCCACACCGAAACGACGGACGAGCGTCCTCCAGGTGACCCACGTCACCGGATCTCCCCGAGATCCAGATCTCCCACGAGATCACAGCAGACCCACGTCTGCAAGATGACCCACGTCATCAGCCACATTGGGAGGTGCGATCGGAAGACCCGTCAACTAGCATTGGAGCATTCATACCTTGTAGCCATGCTGCGTGTGGTTTGCTCTTGGGTGCGGAGTGACAAAAAGTGGGGCGCTGTGTGCGCGATTTTGCGCGGCCGTGGGGTCGTGTGGATCTCGGGGGAGATCGGGATCTCGAGGGAGTTCGGTGGTGTGGGTCACCTTCCAGGTCGGGGGTCCCCTTGCAAACGTGGGTTTGCGGTGATGACGTGGGTCATCTTGCAGACGTGGGTCTGCTGCGATCTCGTGGGAGATCTGGATCTCTGGGGAGATCCGGTGACGTGGGTCACCTCGGAAGTGTCCTCTTGCAAACGTGGGTTTGCTGGCCGCACACGCTGCTCACCGAGGACTCCGCCTCCGACTCATTCTCATCCGACTCAGACTCTGTGTCCGAAGTACCCGAGGCACAGATGTCCAGACCCAAGGGAGCCCCCCCGCAGCGCCGATGGCGCCGGCGCCAGAGCTTCCTCAGGGCAAGGCTGGCGTGCACCTCTTGCTTGAGGGGTCAAGGGGCACCAACCGCCACGTATTGCCCGAGCCACCACCAGCTGCGCCCTCAGCGCAGGCAGCACGTCGTCACGCCCATACTTTTGAACCATAGCCTCACCGGCTTCGCGCGCCCGATGATGCCCCCACAAGCGGCGGCAGCGCCCATCGATGTCTAACTGCAAGCCACAACAAAGCCCAGTCACTTTTAGACTGTGCAAAGTGTAAATGGAAACCGCATGCTCTGGGACTTTGGCCACACACACGAGCAAACGCCTCAACTGAGCTTGTGTATAAGCAAACGAGGCCCGGCCCCCAAAGGGCCCAGGGATCAGGAAATCGACCTCTCCAAGCTTTTCTCGCAGCAATTTGACAGCTGCCGTCCAATCATCATAGATACCCACAGTAAGGCAGCCCCAAGGCATAGAAGCCTTGGAGGACTTTGTCTTCCAACATCTGCAGCGCGCAATACCTTGCTCGAAGTCCATCTCAGGCACTGCCACGCGCTGGGCATCAGAAAAACGAAGCGCACCCCAAAGCATAACCAAGAACACCACACACATCAATGTAGGTGGATCCAGCTGTGGACCCGAAGCCAAGGCAGCGAGCACTGCAGCCTCCATGCGCGCCACGGCATACAAAGGCAAAGGTACAGCTTCCTTGCGTTCCTTACTCTCTGCCGCATCGCCCGAACAAGCAACCACGACAGGATTTGCTAAGGTAGCCAGCAAGCGATCCCAGCCCAGCAAGGCCGCCGCGAACTTCAGGGAACGCCAGGGGGCGATCGCGCTACGGTGCTTCGCCTATACGCAATCAAAGAAATTGACCAACAAGTCTGCACGCGCGAACGGCGTCTCCAGGTCAGTTCCGTGGATGAAGTCCACCCATAATTTGAAACCCGGCAGGTGCCGCCGCAAGGTACCGGCTGCCTTTGTCCGCAAAACTCTAATCAAGCAACCCTCGGCCAACTCGCCCAAGTCTTGGAAGAACGGCGAGGAGTTCAAAAGTGGCTGCAGGTAGCCAACCCAAGTTCTTGCGAGCGCTTGCCACTGTTCTTCCTCCCAGGATTTGGCGCGGCAGCCCGGCTTGACCCAAAAACTACGGGCTACACCACTCCTAACAACATCAGCGCTCACTTCAGCGAGAACGGCCACCGCTTGCTTGGCCGCAAAGTCATCGCAACCTCTCACAGGGCCTGGCAAACCACCCTTGCACAGGCGAAGAGCTGGTTGCTTCAAGGGAAGCTCGATGCCAGCTGGTAACGGTTTCTCGCAGCCCTCAAGCAAGTATTGCTCCCTGTCCAAGCCCAAGTTCGGCCTCGGCCTAGGCCTCGCCAACGCAAAAGCTGGGTAGGGCTCTACGGCCCCCCAGTGTGGCCTCGGTCGGCCTGCTCCATAGAGCGGCATGCCAACCAAAGCTGTGTGGCACAGCACCAAACTTTAAACCAGGGAGCAGCTGCTCCTGTTACCAGCAAGCTGTCCAAACTGACAAGGTACGCATTAATGCTAGGTGGGAGAGAGGGTTGGTGTTCCTGCCTACCCCGACCAACCGCGAACACCGGTACACTTTTGGTTGAAGCGAGTTCTGTCGCTCTTTTGGTACGGGATTTCGTCGGGGGTGGGGGAGGCATCGGATCATGCGTGCGATTTCCTTGCGCTTCTCCTTTTCGCGACGGTTGCCCAGTCGCATGAAATTGATGTCCAGAGTCGCCGCCAATTGAGCCACACTGGAAAGCACGCTTAAACTAAGGCGATCTACTGTTTTCGGTGAAGAATCCCCGAAACGCCGAAGGACGACAAACGCGCCGACAAATCACGTCACTTTATGGGCGGTTTGGTCAGCAAAACAGCAGCACCTTGTGAACCGCGAAACCGGCAAAGGAACGTCTATCACTCGCCCGCAAATGGGCATCATCTTGAAATGCAATGACGAGCAGGACAGCGCAGACACACGCACTCGAGTCCTGTGGCTCCAAGAAGGGCACTGAGGAAAGCCTTGAGGAAAACCAACATGTCCCACAATTTTTACGAAAAATGTTCTAAAAAAGGACAAAGCATGAAGGCAAAAGGATTTGGTGGCAAGAAAAAGGAGATGCCAAACAACACGACCCATCCCAGAAAAACTAGCCTTGGATGTGAATTGTCAAATGCAATTCTGCCCGCGCAACATGTTTGTGACCAATGTTTGGAAAGGTTCCCGGTCACATGTTGCAATGCAGTTGATGCTTGCGCCGCATCTTTGGTGTTGCTGCTGTGTGTGTGTCTCCCCCTGTTCCAAAGGATTCTCTTTCGCGTGCGCGAATTCAATAATGCAGGGGGTCGCTGGGGATTCGCGCAGTCACGACCAACGAAGACGCTGCGCGTTTCCTGTGACAAGGACGCTTGACTCACGTACCTGCGGATGATATGACTCCACTTTTTCCCGCGCTGTGGTGTGCTTCCACGGTTGTTTCGTGAACCGCCCCAAAACATTTCCCTCCGCCGCGTTTGCCGCGATGCCGCCGCAGCTTTCCGCAGTCGCGCGCAACATTGTTGAACACTTCACTTGAGCCGATTTTGCGCCTGTCCGTTCCCACATCCATGTCACTGTGGGTTATGGAAACTGCAAGCCCTGTGACTAAGTGTGTTTCGCTGTGTCCTCCTACTGGGTGCACAGTGTGATCCTCTTGCGAGAGAGGCGCTGAAGCCATGTGTGAATCACATATCGATTCAGCTGCCTTGCATTCGTGAATCAGGTTACTGGCTCGCTTTTGTCTCACCCATGAGTCTTCTGATCGCAAAGCTGCCAAGCTACGGACTCTACACCGCCGGGCTTACGGTAAACGTACATATGTACACACACACACATGGACATACACCCCCTTCCCCTCCCCCCTCCCTCTCTTGCGCTTTCTTCCTGTTCTAGGCCTTCTTTCAGGCTTGTTAGGTGGTTCTTGAGGCTCGTTTCCCTGCCCCGGGGTTTTTTAGTCAAGGGCTAAGTAGTCAAGTGCTAAGTGCTAAGGAGTAACTTTTTGCGCTACACCTATCTTTCTCTCTTGCCCTTTTCGTTTGGCTCTTGCTGTTTTTCTTTCTTTGCTAAGGCTGATCCGTAATTTGCCGCTCGAGCGGCAGACCTGCGCGCCTGGCCCTTTCGGGCCTCGCTTCACGTATCCACACCATCCACATGTACACCTGCCCCCTCCACCGCAGCTGCCGCCGTGGCTGACCACCTGATCAACTCGTACTTTGCCATAGGGTACCCCACCGTTCGACGGGGCAACAAAGAGCGATACTGATCGTGCGCGAATTCAAGAGCGCAGGGGGTTACAGGCGTCGCCTGTACCCCTTAATTCGCCGTTCCTTCGGCACTTTCGCTCGACAGATTTGCGCCGCGCTACACCTATCTTTCTCTCTTGCCCTCTTCTTTTTTTGCTCTTTCTATCTTTCTTTCTTCCTTTTTCTAAGGCGTTTTGGGTGGCTCTTCAGGTTTTTTGATGCCGTCATTTGCCGTTTACCTGCGCTGCGCCGCCGTGCTGCCGAGCCGCGGCGCACTTGCGCAACCTCCCCACCGACCGCCACAGCCAACACCACAGCGTCCAGTTGGCAACCGCACCCCTGTTTCCTCTCTCCTCTCTCCCCTCTCCTTGACAACAACAAAACGCTGGCTGAAACTCCCCGCTGTCTCCCAACCGCTCAATTTACCAAAAAGCCGCGCAGCCTTCGAGGCGGGGACATGTCAATCTGACCGCTGTTACTCCGGGTCTTTCGGGCAACAAAGAACAATGCTGACTATCAAATTCAACCAAACAAGCAGCCGTCCCGCTCGCGCGTCTCCCCCTGTTTTTTGCGTGCGCAAAATTCAAAAATGCAGGGGGTCGCTGGGGATTCGTGCAGTCAGCGACCAACGAAGACGCTGCGCGTTTCCTGTGATATGAGTCAAGGACGCTTGACTCACGTACCTGCGGGTGATATGACTCCACTTTTTCCCGCGCTGTGGTGTGCTTCCATGGTTGTTTCATGAACCACCCCAAAACATTTCCCTCCGCCGCGTTTGCCGCGATGCCACCGCAGCTTTCCGCAGTCACGCGCAACATTGAACACTTCACATGAGCCGATTTTGCGCCTTTCCGTTCCCACATCCATTTCACGGTGGGTTATAGAAACTGCAAGCCCTGTGACTGTGTGTGTTGTGGTTATGGTCCGCGTTGCCATGTGGTGTGTCAATGTCGCGTCGGGCATCTGGCTCGCGCCGCTGGCCAGGTGGGGTCGGGCATTTGGGTTTTGGCTGGCAGAACTTGTTCTGCTTTTGTTTGGTTGTGGCGGCGTGTGTGTGCGTGCTGTGTGTGGGTGCGTGTATTAAATTCTGCGCTGTCAGTGTCATAGTTTCTTGTCCGTTGTCTTTCTTCTAGTCAGAACGGCCAGGCTCTGATGCCCTGCAGCACAGAGGTCACGGTAGGGTGGGTTCTCTCCTGAATAAAAACGATCCTTTCGGGCGGGGAATGAGGGAATAACTCATAACTCTTCATCCTTTCTCATCATGTCTCCCTGTTCTGGAACTGGGCTTCAAACCTCAAATCAAATCCTGGCTGAAACTGTCGGATGAGAGTTGCGTCACCATGGCCTAGCAGATTTGTGGGGCCAGGCCCAGTTTTCTCTCACTATTAACTGCATTTTTTGCTAGCTAGCCTGCGTATAAATAAGACTGTCCGGACTTAAGGAATTGCAGTAGTGGCAGTACGCCTAGTACGCCGGTCCCGCTTCGTGACATCTCGGCCTGTGATTCTCCATAAGCACTCGCCTCAAACTGCGCAAGGGAGGCCAGAGCATGAATGCAGCGTGTCATATGAAACTAAGGCTGTCACCTGCTGAAGCCTTGAAACACATGATGATGCGTTTTTCGGGGAAAGTAATAACGCAACAACTCTGTGGGTCCGCTGATGCCTTGTTCTTCATTCTTCGCTTTCTTTGCTCTTTTTGACATGCGCTTGTTTGTTTTCCTTTCTGCAAAGCTACACTGGAATGAATTCGCGAAGCAAAGCACCTTTTGCCTACATGTGGATCACTCTTACATTCTGGAGGCACACTCTGCGCATGTTCACTGGTGTTGTTTGCGCCAAACGCTTGCAACACTCATTGAAATGTTGGACACGTCAACAGGCTGCTGAAGTTCCAAGTTGCACGCAACTCACAAAGTCT